TCCAAGAACATCGTTGTTGCAACATGTACTTATTCTCTACTCGCTCGCAGTTTCAAAGATGATGGAAAGAAAGCTTTGCGGTCGATGTAAAGGAAACAAAGATCGTGTAAAAGATTTGTGCTGTATACGCGGATGACACGGACCGTCTGGGAGGAAAAAGGAAAGGAGTAGTCGCAGCCTGTGAAAAGCAGACGACATTGTCCCGAACGCGGTTGCCGCACGAGAAGCTACAATAGCTCGTTCACCTACGAACGGATGAAATTCATAAAGTATCGCGATGTTTTACGATGCAGTAAAGTGACGTAGGCTGAGGACGACAGCGCCGCGAACAGCATTTCTCATTTATTCGTTCTTGTAAATTTATATCGTAGCCGACATTCGCGGGGGTTTAAACACGCGCGGTAAACGTCGGGGATGTCGTTGCTTGTACTTCACGGCTGCAAACGTCAGGCAAGATTAAACGAGCGGCGATTTCGTAGGAGAAAAGCTCACCGTCACCTTAACCTTCCTGGCGAAGCACGCGAAGATCGTTCGACGACCTTCGAGACAGCAAACGACTGACAATGATTAAACGTTCATGGCTATGCACGACGCTCTGCCATTGTTGCGACGTCATATCGTTACGCGAGGATCGCTCGTTATGGTAAATTCCCCTTGACGTTCGATGTCTCGTGGATCGTGCGAACCTCGTGAAAATTTTGCTTTCGATGGCTGTCCGTCGATTTCCGACTTCACCAGGAAAACCTGTAAAAACGGCGATCGAACGATCGTACGAATGAAATTCGTAAGAAAGACGTGGTTAAGCTGAAAGAGAGACAATGGCGAGATAAAATATCATATAGATTAACGTCGTTGTCGATCGTACACTAATCCACGATTAATTCTTTATGCTTCGATGGTATTTTAAAAGATCAGTTTTATGAAAATGGTACCAGCAGCCAAATATATTTGCAAGTTTTATGGTACGTACTCGTGCTACGTATTATTTATAATCGATAAGGATATTATATATTGGAACACGCGATATATGGATACTTTGTTTAGCAAGATCTTGAAGAAAGAAACAAATTAATGGTCTCTCTGTATAAACATTTTAATATAGGTGTTTAAAAAAGTAAGACATTAATAACGGAGAAAAATAAAATAACCGAGGCGATAAATGGTTAAAGTTATTGCAAGTTAGCGCAGTTGTTGAGATTAAGCGTTTCTCGTCTCCGACAGTCTATTGTTATTCACCGTGACGGTATCGCGAACCGCAATAATAACAACAGCGATAATAATTCGTATTCGCGCGCAAGCAACCGGCAGCATCGCTTGCAACGCGCGTGCTTCTTCGACCTCTTTGCGGATTTTCCGTTAAGAGAGAAACGCGCCGTAGATGAATATTAAAGTCGACGAGTAAAACGTACAGCTACTACAGCGCTATACGACGAAAATGAATTCGAAGCGTGATACGACCGGTTCTCGTCTTTTTTGTTTTTTGACAGCTAACTTTTACATAATTAAGACAGGTTGCGTATACAACGTATATGTGGGTAGCAACTGAATATATTTCTCCATATTTGAAGCGTAATGAACTGTTTCTTCGTAACGTAGTCATCTTATTTCGATCTCGCCTACCTTAGTCTTCTTATAAGAGCGAAAAAGAGATTCGGGACGTCAGTGACAGTGAACGAATGGAACTAGCGCGACTGTAGCGCGAAGCCATTACATTTGATATCGCAACAGGCTGGAAATCGCGCGGTTTCTCGTTATGCGTCTCTAATTTCGCGGCGCGAAAGCGTCGTCCGCGTCGAAATTCTTTGGAGCGACCGGCGTCGGTTCTCACCGCGCATTCCTCGTTCCTCGCTCTGTAATCCGATCCAATTTAGCCAAGAACGCGATATGAAAACTCGACGCCCGGGATGCCTCGTGCTCTAAGCCCTTATCTGCTTATCAATGGACGATGCAACGCGTGCAGTCCTCCGTTTCTACGTCTTTATCTCGAGACCTGGTTACAGTGCTACGAAGCTCTAATTTCTCTCGAAATTCTGTTACAACCGTTGAAAAAACAGCGAACAGCATGAACATCGGCTAAGTAGACACGATACCTGCGTATACGAAATGTTTTAATATGTCTTTTTCTTATGCAACGATCGAATTTATCGATAAAAGAAAGCTATCAATCGCGATGTATTTATATGGTAGAAAATTGACAATCTCATAGACAAGGTAGGAAAATCTTCGAGCGAAGAACATCTCGAGTTTCTTACGCGCAATTTACACGCGATCGCGAATAAACGAAGAGAGCAGTTTCCCTAGCTCGAGCTAGGAAATCCAAGGAAACGGTTACGTTCCTCGTCGCGGTTGCAGCTCGGAAGTCGCGCTCCGACTTTACGACTGTATTAAATTCGACACCGGATGCTCGGTCCCGTCCCGTTCCTCGAACAAAGGATTTCCAGGAAGGTGCTTCAAACAGTTGCACGCCGGTGTTGCAGAAAATTCGTAAATCGTCGATAGACCAAGGAAATTCCGCAAAGTGTAAGAAACTGATTGTTCATACTTTAAATTTGTCTTGATGTCTATCGTTATCGGAAGACAAACCACTAGAAGCGAGACAAAATAATATTTGTGTCCGTAGATGGAAATTCTCGGAAACCTGTATCTCGATATTAAGCTCGATTATCGATAGCTATTTTATCGACAAACATATACCGTATTTGACTTTACCATTTTTTCACGTTCGCCGATTTAGAATTAATGTACTCGCGCTTAAAAGATCGAAGGATTAAAATCTAAGGGGAGGAACAGAGCGACGGACTAACCGATCGTTATCCAGCAAGTTAATCCGAGGTGGTTACTCGGTTCCCTAATTACACTCGCTCTTTCACGGTACCAAGTTGCCGCTTACCCACGGCCAGATCCGCTTAAACTGTGCGTTAAATTCGGCCAAGTAACTTGCACCGTTCAGACACCATCTACTCCTCGTTTTCTGAAACACCACCGTCTGCCGAAACATTTTCTCAGCCTGTTACTCGGAGCGTTTTCGAAATCGCGGATGGAACGCACGATTTTCTGCACGATCTCTACGAATCGTTCCTGGAAATTAGTCCGGCCGGGGTGGTCCAGTCTCGTCACGCCACGTCTCGGTCCATGCCGATTGAAAGCGAACGCGTGGTTCTCGTTTAAAAAAGCCGAATTACCGGCGGTTTCTTTCTCGGTTTTCAGCGGATAATTAATAGTCGCGTGAGCGAGCCGGAATCACGACGACTATTCGTTTTTTCGTCGGTGTTTTTGCAGTTCCAACGTGGGTAGCGCGTGCAATGCAATTCGCTTTGGTTCGTCGGTTTCATCGCGTTCATCGCCACGCGAATTTTATAGATTTTTCTCTGCCAGCGAAGATAATAAAGGGACATAATTGTTTACCGAACTGGACGTGTTAGCGATAGCGATGGCGACTGAGCGGAGTCGATTTCCGAGAGACGGAGATATAAACATTCAAACGAGAGCTCTTGGTCGATGACGAATCGAAAGAGGGGACGAAAGGATTTCGCAGCACCTGCTTCTTTCCATCTCAATTGATTCATTTATACCGCGTCGTAATTATAGCGATAACTAAGCGTTTTTTAAATGAAATTTCTAAAACAGATCGAGATATACTTTGTACGCCATAATATTTAATTTTTCCAAACCATCGTATCGCCTTTGTTATCTAAGACATTCGCGTGGTCGAAAACTTTTTAGTCGTCGGAACTTATCGTGTTTTAATCGCTGGAAAAAATTGAGTAACGCGGCTCTCTCACCGATGATCACTCGATGCCACTTAACGTGATAAGAAAAAGAACCAAGGAAATACGAGTTTACGACTGTGAGCATAAGAAAGTAAACACACTCGCTTAAAAATCAGATTTCATACAGAGAATTAGATCTTCTTATGTACTCGTGGCTTTATCTTATCCGCGTTCTTTATCGTCGCTGTTTGATAACCCTATAGTTCTCGTTCGCTGATACAGTTGTTAAACAGACGCAAAGAACGAGCGTAGTAAAGAAATTTCGAGACTGTTTACGCATCGAACAGGAACAGCGATAAAGGGGAATGCCGAGGAGCAAAGGATGGTGCTAGAAATTGAATCGAAATAGCAGGGAAGGTACGTTATTCATGACGAGGAAGAGAATTGGCGAATCGGTAGTGCAGGAGGTAGCGATACCTCGAAACGCCTTTTCCCTGTTAGGTTTCCGAGGAAATGGAATTCTTTGTCGCGTTTGCTTTGGTTACGGCATCGATCGTTTCTGCTTTGAACGTCGAAGCTTCTCGGAGTACGAGCGTTTATTCTGGAGAAGCTGCGAGCTGTTCGCGTACGACCAAGTCAACCACGCGTTTGCTAATCAGCTTATCGGTAATCTGTAAACAGATTACCCTGGAAAACAAGCTGTTGGCATTGTGTAACGTTGATTTATCGCCAGTACGAGCGAGCTTGCCCGTCGATCCCTTCCCTCCTAATAACTTTCCATTTTCTCCATTCATCTTGAATCTTGTGATAATCGATATTTGACGTTAAAGCCCAACGATCGATATCTGCCTACCTTGCTTCGGATATCTTGTTTGCTATTTCGAAACCGAAGGAAACTAAAGTTCTATCATTTTCCTTCTGTCATCCCGTTTTTCTTCGGTTTAAAACATATCGTCGTTATCTCGTAAAAGCTTGCCTAGTATAGTTTGAAATATTAACTTTAAATATAAACTTTGAATATTGAGAAATATCTTAAGAAACGAATAAACGCAGAATATTTTTATTAAAGTAGGACAGAATTACGCATCGGGAACGATTCTCTCGAAGAGACACGAAATATGTACCAGATATGATCCTCGAAAGGATCGTCGTCCATCGAACGATTTCTTTCTTTTTTTTCTCCTTTTTTCCGCTAACGGCGAACGAGGCAGACGCGAGTAGGAAGTTTCATTGTGAGCGAGATATAACGGTGAATTAGCTGCTAAAAGAATGGCTTGTGTTTCGTTGCAGATGCTGCTCTTGCCATACCTTCTTCGTCCATATCTGGTCGGCGAGATTGCGCTCCGATTATGGTGAGTAAGTACCCCCTTCTCTCTGTTTGCTATCAATTATTTATGATGCTGCGGCACACAGTTCCATGTTTCGATACGCGCAAGGACAACAACTTCCAATAGAGAAGGGATATTTTGACCGAATTTTCATTCGAACGATGATCGCTCCTCTGGTGCCAAGTCGGAACGATTCGAAAACCGCTAGTTAGCCGAACGCTCGAGGATCTTTTGATCTCGAGACAAAAGCTACCACTCGAACGAAAGCGCTAAAAGCATGCCGTTGCTTAGCGACCCGGGGAACAACGCTAAAACGAACCGCGTTGCCGCGACGTTCCCCGTTAACCTTTTCATTCTTCATCCGCCACTATTTCTTCTTCGTTCTTCCGCTTTTCCCTGCTATTCGCGATCGAGCGAGTTACACAGCCCCGAAGACTTTTTCGATTAAACTTGCCCTCGACGATTCGCAAATTGTTCCATCCGCGCGACGAAAGAATCGAGAATTGAATTTCCATCGAATTTCCATCGAATTCCCGCGCTCGATCGCCCACGACAACCGATTTTTCTTCTCGCTCTCGAAGGATGCACGTGTCGGTGTATAAAGCGTGGCTTAAGGTGAGTTTAAACCGAGCGGACGCCCTCTCTTTTCCCATTTTGCTGGAATTTGGTAAAATGACGGCGTAAACGAACGTCGATTCGACGTCTGACAATTGATCTAGAACGCTGCAAAAAAAGCTTGCTCGATTCCTTGAAGTTTTTCGTTCGATCGCTACGAACGTTCGATTTCTAATTCGGCGTTAACACATTTCGTTCGGAAATTTGAATAAAGCGAGAGAAAAGCGAGCGTTCGTTCGCTCGGTCTAAACGCACCACTGTAGATTACGGAACATACCCGTACTCAGTTGGACGTGTTTTGTTATTTGCGCATCGTGCGAACGATGATATCGCCACGATCTTTAGTTGTCGGAAACTAGGACGCAGGCTAGCGGCGCGCGTTACGCCGCTGAACTTTGTATCGAGCCGCAATTCCGCTTCGCGAGTGATCGTTCACTAGGTTGCACGCACGGTATTATTAATATTAACCCTCGAGGAGCTGACTGAAACGAGTAACGCGGTAAAAAAGTAGTGCATTATCGTTCGTTCGACTTACAACGATAAGACCGAATCGTGCGAATAACAGACGTTCCAAGCTTCTCCGCTATACTCGATACACGGACTAAACGTAACTCGACAAACACGTACTTTGGTAACCTGGTATCGATTAATCGGTTCTAGTAATCTAGGCGCCATGGAACAGCACGTTCCAGCGTAACGAACGTATGGACTGGAGATCGTTGCCGTGGTCAAAGGTTTGCTCAAAGATTAACGCGTTAAACCGTACGAGAACAGACAGGTGTCGATCGAAAAACTGTGTGCGATCGTTCGTTTTTCCACGCATCAGATCGCGAATTGAAAGAACGAATAAACGAACATATTGGTTAGCAGCAATAGCTGGATCATTGGCGTGGGCTGTGTTTATATTCGAACGTAACTGTTTTATTGACCGAAGCTTTTAGGAAATTTGAACAAATTCTAGAAGTAAAATGATCGTATTTAAAGATGGACCTTAATAGTAACGGAATTCAGAAGGCGAAGCGTGTTGCAAAGTTTTCGGCGACGGTATACTTACGTACGCATAAATGTACGTTACTTTACCGCTGTATATACATCGCTTTGTATTCAGAGACGCTGCAGCACTCCGTTACGATACCGTGCGAGAAAAATTCGCTAGCCTAAAACGATGCTAGGCGTCGCCCGAAGGCGATCGACGTTCGATCGGAAGAGAAGGATCTTGAGAGAAGGGCGTACAGGTATACGCATAGGTAACACGGTGAATCTGTACCGTAGTAGATCGTAATCGAAATGGTTGCAGCAACCTGGCGTTTTGTTCCTCGGTGCTTGTCCGCGCTCTTGATTTACCGTTACCACTTCTTCGCTGCTAGCCGAAGAACAGAGTCCAGCCTCTAATCTCGCGAGCACCGTCGTCTAATTAAAAGCTTCGAGAAAAAATTGCTATTTGCCTCGAACGGTAGATTCGCCGATAGCACAAGCTGCACCTTGACGCCGCGGCGTGCATCCTGTCGCGAACTCGAGCGCACTCCGACACGAGCCGCTAGTACGCGTGGTATTTGTACGCACGGTACAGTTAGGATCCGCGTTTAACCGTCAGACTTGTTCGAACCGAGACTTCCTGCTTTCGTAATACGATGGAATACCGTACAGCTGCGAAAATCTGCGATAACGCGCGTTCGCTGTTTTATTTGTCGGCGTTGATTTTTCGCCTGACTAAATTGGGCATTAATCGCGATCGAGACGAATCGATGATCGTAGAAGTTTGAACGAGCGTGATAAAATAGCAGCAATTAGACGCGCGGTCATCGATCGCGACGACGTTACGACGATAGGTCGCGTAGCTGACATATTTCTTCGGATATATTGATTCCGCTCATTGAACACGTGTCCGACTCTGCATCTAATTGAACGAAGAGACCACTCGAATTATTAACCCATTAACCCTGCAACTCCCATAGCCCAGATTGTGATACATTGTGAGAAATTCTCCGTCGACGATGGAACGATAGCTTTCAATAATTTATTTTGAAACAGATGCGAAATATATATCTTCGTTCTTCTTATTTTCATTACAAATTACAAATCCTTTTTATCGTGTTTCATCGAACGACGATCAAATAATACGTTTTACGCTTGCAAGACGCGGCGTACAGATGTCGAACGAGAAACTAGCAGTTTTCCTGTGAACATAGGGACATTGAGAATAAATTGCAAACAACTAAACTAACTACGAACATCGATCGACGACGAAACGATTCCATGGTAAGTACGTTCGAATCGTTGAGTGAGTTGAATCGAGTACGTTGAAGTGGTCACCACTTCTAAGAAAACTCTACATCTGGTCTTTTTTTTGTTTTCTCAAGCACCGAAGCCATCGACAGCGTGTAGACAAAAGACTACGACGAAGACAGACCATAAACAGTAGACAAGTGACGTTGGCTTCGGGGTTTTTCAGTTATTGGGTAACACAGCTAGCGTGCGGATCTGGACCAGCTCAAATTGTATTCTTACTTATAATTACGCTTCTATTTACATATATTTTCTACCTTACAATTTATCCACGAGTTTCTCTGTTTACACATCGAATAACCTCAACAAAATCAATTCGTGCAGTCGAGAAGAAGCTTAACGAAGGAGTCTGGTTTCGTCGGGTTTTTTTTTGGTCCAGGTAGATTATTGGCCCGTGCAGTACAAAAGGACCGATCCGAGCTCGTTTGCATTGTACAATCGTGCATTGTGTACAGAACCACGTCACAGGCTGGCCCACTTTCTTTACCCTCTTATTTCTTCCGTCGCACCCTAAAGCCCCCGGCTGTCGAGCTTCAAAATTAATAAGACCATTGCTCGACACATCCTGACCTTGGCCTTTTGTTCACCGTATCTGCGTCATTCCGCGAATACCCGCCTCTACTACAATCGATACGACCACCTTCTTCGAGTTCCAATCGCAGCGCGGCGTCGCGAAGAAAATCGTAAACTCGTTTGTCGCGTTCGTTCGAAAGCGTCTGGCGTTTTCATTTATCGATAGACGTGAAAGGATAGGCGCGGCTGGAAAACCCACAACGTCGAAAAGATCGCCCGAACCTCTTTCTCTTTCCAGCGAAACTCGACGAATCGCATTCGAGGCACGTGCTCGCGAACACGCGTCGATCGTGCTAATTCGAGCGGTGCACCATCCGCCTCCCATGTAATCGACACAACGATCATTTTTTTCTTGTACGGTTTGGACAACGACGAAACGTTCGATACACCGGGACTCAGCTTGCTGGGACTTCTTGCACGATCGAATTAACGTTATTAGCGAAATTTTACGAGTCGGGAGTTGCTAGGACGTTCAGCGAGCAAGTTTGACAATAAGAGAAATGAAACTCTACACGTTTCGCTAATCGTAGATCGTTTGATTATTCTCTTGGACGCGTGGTTACAAAATCGCAAAAGAGAAGCCTAGGATTTATAATTCCTAATCTATTTATAATCTGATCTCTCGTTGGCTGTTTTTCATATTCTAAAAGTGCAAGATTAGTTATCGATCGAGCTCTTTACTTAATTGCTTATTTATTACGCATTTATCGGTTATTTGATCCTTCTTTCCGCTCGAAAGATATTCGATTACGAGCGAACCATTCATGTTCCCCGTTGAGAAGATTCATAACTGACGAAGTGCTTCCCATTTATCGAATAAAATTCCATAAACGATTAGTTTTGCCACGATGCTGGAGCGAGTTCAATGAAACGTAAAGAAAAACGAGAATCGTGCAGAGAGAGAGTGAGAGAGAGAGAGAGAGAAAGAGAGAAGAAATTGAACTTCCAGCGAAATAATTCGATCTGCAATTCGATTGGGCAACTCGATCATTCCACGGAGTTAGTGCCGTGCATGATCGACAGATTCGCGGCTACGGGAATCGCTGATCGCCTCCGCGGATTATCGATAACGATCGAACATCGGCGTGATTCTAATCGCCACTTTGGCAACCACTTTATACGATAGATCGAGTTTGTACTCAAGCAGTCCAGGCGAAAGAACGCCGCTCTATAAAATTACTCGCCAACTTTGTAATCGAACTTACAACGCGAAATTCCTTCGTTCGTTCTAATTCGAAATCGATCGATCCGTAAATTTCAACGACTCGTGGAGACAGTGATTTCATTGCTACGTTATTATGGAAATTCTTACGTCACTCTAACGCCGTGTAAAAATTCCAAACGCTAGATATACATCACGGGTCACGAAAGTAGTCGAATTCTTATCGCAGAAAATTACTAGCTCGCCGTAACTGGATCCTGATTATATCGGTAAAATTTGTTGACGAGACGTTTATCACAAAATCTATTAGATACGATTGAAGATATGACCCGAAAAGAAGATTAGATACATCTTAACACGATCGGCACGTTAATCCGGTTTATTGCTT